GCTTGGGTCTTTTTCCCCTCGACAGGGCTGCTTGGGGTCTTCTTCCCCGCAGGGCCTGCTTGGGGGTCTTCTTCCCTCGACAGGGCTGCTTGGGGTTTCTTTTCCTTCCCACGACAGCGGCAGCTTGGGGTCTTCTTCCCTCGGCAGGGCTGCTTGGGGTCTTCTTCCCTCGACAGGGATGCTTGGGGTCTTCTTCCCTGCGACAGGGCTTGGGGTCTTACTTCCCTCGCAGGGCTGCTTGGGTCTTCTTCCCTCGGCAGGGATGTTGGGGTCTTCTTCCCTCAGCAGGGCTGCTTGGGGTCTTCTTCCCTCGACAGGGATGCTTGGGGTCTTCTTCCCTCGGCAGGAGCTGCTTGGGGTCTTCTTCCCTCCAGGGCTGGGGTCTTCCTCGGGCTGCCTGTCTTCTTCCCTCGACAGGGCTGCTTGGGTCTTCTCTCCCTCAGGGGTTCTTCTTCCCTCGGCAGGCTGCTTGGGGTCTTCTTCCCTCACAGGGCTGCTTGGGGTCTTCTTCCTCGGCAGGGCTGCTTGGGGTCTTCTTCCCTCGGCAGGGATGCTTGGGGTCTTCTTCCCTCGACAGGGATGCTTGGGGGATGCTTGGGTCTTCTTCCCTCAGCAGGGCTGCTTGGGGTCTTCTTCCCTCGACAGGGATGCTTGGGGTCTTCTTCCCTCGACAGGGCTGCTTGGGGTCTTCTTCCCTCGGCAGGGATGCTTGGGGCAGCAGGATGCTTGGGGTCTTCTTCCCTCAGCAGGGCTGCTTGGGGTCTTCTTCCCTCGGCAGGGATGCTTGGGGTCTTCTTCCCTCGACAGGGATGCTTGGGGTCTTCTTCCCTCGGCAGGGATGCTTAGGGGATGCTTGGGGTCTTCTTCCCCTCAGCAGGGCTGCTTGGGGTCTTCTTCCTCGACATGCTTGGGGGATGCTGGGGTCTTCTTCCCTGGGGTGCTTCTTCTTCCCTCGCGGCAGGGTCTTCTTCCCTCGACAGGGATGCTTGGGGTCTTCTTCCCTCGGCAGGGATGCTTGGGGTCATCCTCCGTTTGGGATCTTCCCAGCGGGAAGGAATCAGAGAAGCAAGACTGAACTGTTCGTGGTCTCGAACAGTGACTATCAACACTGAAGCTGCGTTTTCCTTGTCTGTATGTTTGACTGAAACTCACTCTCTCTCTCTCTCACTCTCTCTTCTCTCTCTCTTCTCTCTCTCTCTCTCTCTCTCTCTCTCTCTCTCTCTCTCTCTCTCTCTCTCTCTCTCTCTCTCTCTCTCTCTCTCTCTCTCTCTCTCTCTCTCTCTCTCTCTCTCTCTCTCTCTCTCTCTCTTCTCTCTCTCTCTCTCTCTTCTCTCTCTTCTCTCTCTCTTCTCTCTCTCTCTTCTTCTCTCTCTCTCTTCTCTCTCTCTCCTCTCTCTTCCTTCCTTCCTTTTCTTTCTTTTCTTTTCTTTCTTTCTTTTCTTTCTCTTCTCTCTCTCTCCTCTTCTCTCTCTTCTCTCTCTCTCTCTCTCTCACTCTCTCTCTCTCTCTCTTCTCTCTCTCTCTCTCTCTCTCTCCTCTCTCTCTCTCTCTTCTTCCTTCTCTTTTCTTTCTTTCTTTCTTTCTTCTTTCTCTCTCTCTCTCTCTCTCTCTCTCTCTCTCTCTCTCTCTCTCTCTCTCTCTGCATGTATATGTATCTATGTGTATATGTACATACATTATACATATATCTATCTAGCTTTATCTATATATATATATATATGATTACAGGGGTTATGCAAGCGTCACACGAGGGCCCGCAGTAACACACGAGGCCCTCGCGCCACGACGATCTCCCTTGCTGAGGATGGGAAGCACAGGTCGAGCTGCGGAGGGGAGGGGGCATCTAGGAGGCGCAGGGAGGACTTGGGGGGAAGGACTCTAGAGGCAAAGGGAGGGTTATGGCGGGGAGGGTCCAGGCAAAGTGTGGACCGGGGCGGGTAGGCGAAGGGAAGGCTGGGGAGGGGAGTGGAGGGTCTTCAGAGGGTCGGGGAGGGAGGCAACCTGGGGGCAATGGGAGGGGAGGAGAGGGACCTAGAGTGTGATGACGGGGGCCAGGTAGTACGTATGACAGGTGTAGTAACGCAATTACCTGGTCGGGAGTGTTCCTCTGGTCAGGTGGTTACCCTTGCCATATGCTGGGATTTGAAGGGAGTGGGTGGGAGGCGGGATGGATAAGGGAGAACAAGGGGAAAGGGGAGAGGAGGCTTTGTGGGAAGGAGAAAACTGGTAAAGAAAACTGGAGGGATTTTATGAGCCAGTAAAGAATAAAAAGTGAAAAGAACGATATGATATTTATGAAATATATTGAAATAAATAATGAACAACTGGGAATAATAGGATGAAATTAATGAAGACACATCCATTAAACTGTAATATATCATTTCAAGCTCTCTAGTAAATGCCTCCCTCATATCTCGTGTCTTCCTTCTGCATGGCGGCAAGGCGACGAGTGAGTGCGAGTGAAGGGAGATCGAAGCAATACATACAGTGGATGAATCATGGTTTACACGGATAACATAAAAGAGAACTGTGCAGCACTGACAGTTAGTGGAGATATCCCCTTGGGCTTTAGCTGAAAACAAGACTACATACGTCAGTTACGCAAACATTTTCTGTCGAATTCAGTTTTGTTAAAAGGTTTGTTTTATTGTATATGAGTGCAGGAAATCTTAAAATATCAAAATATTGACGTGAAATTATGACCACATCATAAAAAATCCTGAAATGATGAAATTAGGTTTAGGTGACAGGATAGTTGTACCCGGTTCAACATGGCTTTGGCATAATAATTAAGGAGAAGACTGTGGCCATAAAACAAGGCAATTCCTGCCTTCCAACAGTTTTCATCAGGCAGCTAGTCAGACTCGGGTTCAGTCTTTGTACACACGCTCTTAACCATTGAACTCGTTCACAGAAGAGAACCAGTCTTGGCACAAGCGACATGCCTGTCCATGGCTACTTTTTCTTTCAATGTTGACAATATACATATGTGTATGTGTGTGTTCGTGTGTGTGTGTGTGTTCGTGTGTGCGTGTGTGGTTGTGTGTGTGTGTGTGCATGTGTGTGTGCCTGTGTTTTTGCATTTCCAGGAATCAATTTCAGTTTCAGAAATAAAACGATCGCAAACAATAGTCCCTAAAATTCACCGCAAGTAAACGGGATAATGTAAATTCCTTTCCTCCTATCCCATGCACAGCGCTCGACTTAAATTATCGTTAACGAAATGGTCGGCAATCCCTCCTAAACAATCTGCAACAATTTGCAACATCCTCCGGCCGGCGCGTCGAGAACGTTGTTAATACCATCCATTACCGCCCGACTCGCCATCCTGTCGAAACATTGAATTCGGGACCGACTCAGCCGTGTTGTGAACCATTAATTGGTTCACGACTCGGCTCCTTGCTCGCGCGTTATTCATAATGGCTAAATGATGCTAAATGACTCTCGTCGAGACAAACGAAGGTAACTGGTACATAACGATATGAACTCTCATTTAACTATCTATTAAATGCTAAGAACGGATAGCTTTGATTGCCTTTTCTTATATCATTATGTGTTTCCTCTAGTTCATATTAGTTCTATACAAAGTAGATTAAAGTACCCAAACCCTTCTTCATTAGTGGACAATCTATCTCCTACAAAGGCCAAAAAGGGCGCCCCTCCCCCGAACGGCCCATCCGGGCGCGGCAGGGAGCAGTGCGCGGAGGACCCGGAGTGCGCACGAAAGCGCTTCCCGTAAGAGTTCGCCCTCTTTACCCTGCCAGGCTCATTCGCGCGCCATTAGTGTAATTGTGGGCGGGCATGAAATATGCATGTTTTTGCGTTGTGCAATTATCTTTTGCTTAACATAATGGAGCTGGACCCCGCAATAAACCGTCATAAAATAATATAACAAAATCATGTGCGTCGATACTGATTAAACTTTTAGCAGAATGAAACCCAACGTTTTCGGCTTGTCTTCCTGTCTGATGGCGCTGGAATGAGCCCGGTTAGATACAGGGATGAGCTTCACCTCAGCCGCTGAACATGCAGATGGATGAGTTGGAAATGCGAAAGGGAATTCCAGCTGCCATGTGAAACGCTCATGTCGGAGCCTGTTCATTAGGGCAGACATGAACAGAGTTCACCTATGCACCTGCATTGTCAGTGCTACTTTCAATATTTTAGGGCAATTCATATTAGGAAAAATGGATATGTATTCATATATTCTTTATATCAGAGAGAGAAAGAGAGAGAGATGATGCACAGTGGGTGTGCGTGTGTCATAGCAGGCAGTTTGATACGAGCTGCAAAAAGTGTTCATCTTTTTAATTAATGAAAACTGGTAGCTTCCCAGCGCGTCAATTCAGGATGAGAACATTTTTTTAAATGAACGAGATGAATCAAGCGTTCGCTGTGAATCCGTTGTAACATAACTAAAATTATATTCCTTGGGGATGAATTCAATTACACACGCTGTACAGAACAGTTTCCCATTGTTTTTCACTGGAATATGAATGTTGAAATCGCTAATGCTTTTTGTTGTTCATAAAACTGCCATTAATTTTCGGTTTTCAATGATTTTACAATATTTTGAACTTACAAAGTATGAAAGTAAAAATTACACGAAGACACGTTGAATCCGCTAAAGTACTTCATGAAACGTGAAAGAGTTGGCAAAAATGCATACGGTTTTACACGCTTTTCTTGGTTCACAATCCAGATGTTGTCTTTCTCAAATAGTCAGTCAGTCTCCCAATCACGGTGACAGAAAGGAAGAGGGAAAAGGAAGGTGGGAGGAAGAGGGAGCGGGAGAGGAGAGGGGAACAGAAGAGGGAGAAGAGGGATAGAGGTAGGGAAAAGAGTGAGAATGAGAGGGGAGAGGGAAAGTAAAAGTGATAGGAGATGGCAAGGGAAAGGGAGAGAAAAGAGAAAAAGGGCCAAGGGCTAGAAAGGGGAGAGAAGAGGGAGAACGAGAGGGAAAGGGAGAGGATAGGGTCAGAGTTACAGAGCGAGGGAGAGAGAGAGGGGGATTACAAATTTGTCTATCTATCTTCCTCCCTCCCTCCCTCTTTCTCTCTCGGTCTCTCTCCTTCCCTACCCCCCCCCCCCGACGGATAGAAACAGACAGAAAATTAAGAAAGAAAGAATATAGAAAAAAACAGACAGAATGAGATACAGACAGACAGAGAATGAGAGAGAGAGAGAGAAAGACGGAGATAGACAAACAACCAGACAGACAGAGAATGAGACAGTCAGAGACAGGAAAAGTAAACAAGAAGAGAGAGACAGACAGACAGAGAGAGAGAGAGAGTCAGACTGGAAGATAGAGACAGACACAGGCAGACAGAGAGACAGACAGAGTGAAGTAGTCACAAAAGAATGCAGTCCCGCACCGCTATGCAGAATGGACTAATTTGGCGAGGACCAAATCACGCCTCAATAACGTCACGGGCGCCGATTTGGATCTCGGCCAAAACGGCGCGATTCCTGCCCATCGCGCCCTGCGGCGTCTGCGCTGCCAAGCGTAAGGTCCGAATTTGATAACTTCTCATTGTGAAGCAGTTTTAAAGTCCTTTTCTTCACTGTGTAGCTTGATTAACGCTATGCGTTAGGCGAGAGGCTTGGAAATAGAGGAAATTTTCTCAGATTGTTTTCCTCTGTCCTGGGACATGAACTGCAAAGGAAACGCTGCAGTATCTTGCTTAAGTAATTAAGAAATACCTAAGGTGTGTGAACGATACAAGACATACAAGTTAAAGATCTGCGAGAAGGAATACAGCCACAATACGATATGAAAATAAACATTACTCTTTACGAGTTCCTCTTCAAACGAATGATAGACCAAAATGGATCTGTCTCTCTTTCTCTGTATGTATGTATCTCTCTCTCTCTCTCTCTCTCTCTCTCTCTCTCTCTCTCTCTCTCTCTCTCTCTCTCTCTCTCTCTCCTCTCCTTGTTCTCTCTCCTCTCTTCTCTCTCTCTTCTCTCTCCCTCCCTCCCTCCCTTTTCCTCCCTCCCTCCCTCCCTCCCCTCCCTCTCCTTCCTCCCTTTCCCTCTCCTCTCCCTCTCCTCTCTCCCTCCCCCTCCCCTCCCCCTCCCTCTCCCTCTCTCCCTCCCCTCCCCTCTCTCCCTCTACCCTCTCCTCCCCACTCACGCTCACACTCCCATTCTTACTCCTACTCCTACTCCACTCCTTCTCCCTCTACCTCTCCCCTCACACTCACACTCACTCACACTCACACTCCTATTCTTACTCCTACTCCACTCCTCTCCCCCTCCACTCCCACTCCCACTCCTATTCTTACTCCTCCTCCCACTCCCTCTCCCTCTTCCACTACTCCCATCACACTCACTTACTCCCTCCCTCTCCCTCTTTCTCCCCCCCATCACACTCCCACTCACCTCACACTCCCATCTTACTCTACTCCCTCCTCTCCTCTACCTCACACTCCACTCCCCACTCCTCCCAACTCCCACTCCCTCTCCCTCTACCTCTCCCTCTCTCGTTCGCTCGCCCCCAGAGTTTGTTTCATTGAGGTTGGTTGTATTTGAGTATTATTTATAAAACATAAGGCAGAGACCATGATTCTGTTTCCAAACAATAGTAGGAAGTAATTAGAAAGGAATTTAGTTTTTTTTAACGCAATACATTTAAAATTAATGTTGAATGAACAGTTTGGTGACAATGATAAAATGGAAAAAAATGCAGAGAAATAAAACATTATCTCATGTTTGTACATCAGAGGTGCAAGAAACCAAGAGTGATGACTGCCTGCGCTGGACTTCGATGCAACGGTTTTCACGTGCTTTAGGAAAGCTTGTGTTTCCATACCTGGAGGCTAGTTAGTTTTACCTCAGGCACCAGATGTAAATCATAATTGATGAAGATACAATTAAACATGTAGGCAGGCAGATATCAGGGAAATGCCATGTGTTATTGCCTGCCGTTCAGAAGTGTAGGGAGGTCTCAGCCGTATTTAAGTGTGAAAGCCATGCAGTGTCTGTAAAAATCATAGAATCGCGTCTCTCTCTCTCTCTCTCTCTCTCTCTCTCTCTCTCTCTCTCTCTCTCTCTCTCTCTCTCTCTCTCTCTCTCTCTCTCTCTCTCTCTCTCTCTCTCTCTCTCTCTCTCTCTCTCGTCTCTCCTCTCTCTCTCTCTCTCTCTCATCTCTCCTCTTCTCTCTCTCTCTCTCCTCTCTCTCTCTCTCTCTCTCTCTCTCTCCTCTCTTCTCTTCTTCTCTCTCTCTCTTCCTCTCTCCTCTCTCTCCTCTCTCTCTCTCTCTCTCTCTCTCTCTCTCTCTCTCTCTTCTCTCTCTCTCTCCTCTCTCTTCTCCTCTCTCTCTCTCTCTCCTCTCTTCGTCTCCACTCTAGTTTAACAGCATATGTGAGTCTGTGTGTAATTTATCCCCCACAACACATGGCGACATAAAACACCTCTCCCCAACATCCACAAAGAGAGAGTGACATAAGCCTATCGATCAGCCTCCCTGCCTGACACGTAACCCTGCCGGGGTCCCCC